GTGCAGTGCTGCTGTGTTCTCTGCCTTTCCTCTGCGATCACCCGCCTGGGAAACCCTGCCCTGATACTGGAGCTTTGGGGATTGCACCTGGTTACCCTCAAACTAGAGCAGAAACTCCCCGAAAGTGTGAGGGGGGCAGTGCTGCCCAGGGAAACATGTGAAGTGCACCCTGGAGCGGGCTAGTGTCTTTCCAGAGTAAAATATTCAGGTGGTGTTCCAGCAATTTGTCATTCCCATGTGTCTTGGTGCCTTGGAGAACCTGTTGGCCTAGGATTTGTTGCCTCCCCTCAGCCTGGCCTCCCCTCTTCCCCTTGTTTCCCCCAGCTTTGCTGCCATTGCTCCCTCTGGGCATTGCACGGAGGAGCCACCGGCACCGGGAGGAAACAGGCCGGGCTGCCAAGCCCCGCTGTCCCCGGAGCCTGGGACACGGATTTGCTCTTCCATGGGAGGCTGGAGCCCAGCCGGCACCTCCAGGCCTGGGTAGGAGACGCTCGCGTTGTGCAGTTGCTTCCCCTCAAGCCCTGCTCTGCGTCTGCCTGCCTGCCTGCTGCCCTGGCAAGCTGCAGCATAAGCCCCTCGGGCAGGACTTACCTGCTAGAAATGGTGTGTTTTGAAGGGTTTTTTGTGCTTTCTGGTTATGTGGTTTTGAGAGCCATTCTTAGCCAGTGAGGTAAATACATAAATCTTCATGAACAATTCACAAATCCAGAACAAGCTAGGTCAGTTCTGCTCAGTAGCAGTACTTCAGTGTCAAAACAAAACTTTATGTGCTGTTGTTAGTGGTGTCTTAAGGTGCAAAGACTCCAAATTATGAAGCTGTTTTTCATGTTTTTTATTAACACCTTGCAAAAAAAAAAAAGTCTTCGCAAGGCCTGCCAGTCCTTGGATCATGTGACTTCACCAGCCTTTATCTCCCGCTTTTGTGCCACAGTTTTTCCCCACTCGTCTGTAATCTGACATTGTGATTTGTTCACTTACATGCTTGTTTTTCTCCTCAAAGAGGATTTGCTGAATCATCAGGGAGGAGGCAAGAGTTGTAGAGGCAGCTGGGGAGCAGCGATAAAACCACAGCCACATCCAGGCTTCAGGGTTTGCAGATGACAGCCCATCAGTGGAAGGCCTGAGTCACATTCCCTTCTGAGCTAAGATTGTCGGGGACATCGGGATTGAGGAAGCGGGAGGTAGAGCCCCGAAATGTAAATTATAGATTCTGACAGCTGCAAGGTTTTGTGTTGCCTCTCCAGCAAAATGATCCCAGGGGAAGGCTAATGTACGTTGCAGAGCAGGGGCTAAATCCCTCCGAGTGTCATTCGTTGGGCCTTCTGGCTTTGTGGAAACACACAGGTGAAGGGGGATTTGACTTGAAATAAGTCAAGGTGTGAAGTGCCTGTTTCAGACACTCGGGAGCAAGGTGTGATATGGGCCATCATGAGCCAAGATGTCTCA